CCACATAAACCAGAGACTTCATCAGCCTGAAACCAGAAGAACTAGATGGTGCCCGGCTACCACCAATGACCACCCTGACAGGGAACACAACAGAGAATCCCAGATGGAGCAGGAGAAAACTTGGGTACAGAACTCAAATTCTAGTAAGAAGACCAGACTTAACGGTCTGACTGAGACTGGAGGAACCCCGGAAGGCATGGCCCCTGGACTCTCTATCAGCCCAGAACTAAAACAATTTCCGAGGCCAACTCTTCAGACAGGGACTGGACTGGACTGTGGGACATAAAGTGATACTTGTGAGGAGTGTGCCTCTTAGCTCAAGTAGATACAAGAGACTAAACAGGCAGCTTCTGTCTGGAGGTGAGATGGGAAGGCAGAGAGGGTTAGGAGCTGGCTGAACTGACATGGGGAATCGGGTGGAAAGGAGGAGTGTGCTGTCACAGTATGGGGAGAGCAATTAGGGTCAGAACAATGTATGTATAAATTTTTGTATGGGGAAAAAAAAAAAAAAAGAAATCCAGAAGCATTGTATTGGGCAAATCTGCTGCAAAAGACCTCTTTGAAGTGTTAAAAAGCAAAGATGTCCCCTTGAAGACTAAGGTGCTCCTGACCCAAGCCATGGTGTTTTCAATTGCCTTATATACATGTGAAAGCTGGATGATGAATAAGGAAGATAGAAGTACAACTGATGCCTTTGAATTTTGATGTTGGGGAAGAATACAGAATATACCATGGACTACCAAAATAATAAACAAATCTGTCTTGGAAGAAGTAAAACTAAGAATCCTCCTTAGAAGCAAGGATGGCAAGACTATGTCTCATATACTTTGTACATGTTATCAGGAGGGATCAGTCCCTGGAGAAGGACATTATGTTTAACCTTTAGCCCACCAGGGCTCCTTCAATAAATGTTAGCCATCACTATTATATATTATTATTATTATCATTTGTAGCTATTTAGACTATTTCTAATTTTTTGGTACTGATAACCTATGGTTCCAAGAATTACTTGAATACATTACTTTGGATACCTGTTCTATTATATCTGTAAATTCCTATAAGTGAAATTCTTGTAAGTCAAAAGGTATCAACAACAACAACAAAAAGGTATGGCCAAACTGTTCATTAGTATGGTTGAGCTGAATGAGATTACCATAAAATTTATTGGACTTTTCCCCTGCTATCAATCTTTTTAGTCTTTTCCAATCTAAAGCAAAAATTGGTATTTCTTTGCTTGCTGTTGAGAGTAAACATCTTTTCCTGTGTTTACTAGCTGGTTGTCAACAGTCTGTTGTTTTGCTCATTTGTCTTTTCTTTTTTTTCCCTCTAGCTCTTATATGATTTTGTAACTTTGGTTATGTTCTCTAGTGGTTTTTGATGAGCACATTTATTCAGGTATAACTGGCATGAGTTCTGAAGTCTGAAGACCTAGGCTTAAAATCCAGGTGCTTTTTCCTAGCTGTGTGACTTTTGGCAAGTTACTTAATATCTTTGGACCTCAAATACCTCATCTATAAAAAATGTGATTTATAGTGTTAAAATCTCAGGGATCTTGTGAGATTATACTCCACAATGAAGACATGGAACCAGCACCTTGTGCTTGGATTTTACCCGTTGAAAGTATATAGTGTCTTTTGCTGCACTAGACTGACCATAGATCAGTCTGGAGGCTGTTGAATTAATCTACAGAGCACCACTGAAACAGATTCAACAACATTGCCAGTCACATTCTGGAGACAGAAAATTTAAAGCTATTCCTCCCCACTGCTTCCATCCCTGCCTTGGAGGAAAACAAAACAAAAGGAGGAAGGAAAAAAAGAGAACTGCAATTTCCCATACCATTCCAGCTATCTTTAGGTCTTGAAACACTAAAGTTCCTCTCACCCAACCTCAGCAAACAGAGCTCCACCCAATCACTGAAAAGTTAATTTGCAAATCATAACCACCAAAGAACCACCTTCCTATTGAGCACCTCAGAGGATAAGGCGGGGGCTAAGTTTCACACCCCAGCACAGAAAGCTGAGTAGATTTCAAGTGGATGGATGCTGAACAGGAGCCAGTCAGTAAAGGCGCTTAAATAGGCTGCTTCAGAAATCTCCGTGCGAGCAAGGACTAAGTTCACACCGCCCCCATGTGATTGTGGCCAAGTTGTGGGCTGCTGGGGTTCAGCGGTGAGCTGTACAACACCAGTGTTCAGAAGGAGCAAGGGAAACTGCATTTAGAAGAGCAAAACATTACCAAACTCTGCTGACCCAGTCAACAAACATTGCTTGAGCCCTACTGGGATGCTAGGTTAATTCAGAGATTAACAAAACAAGTTCCCTCCCGTTTGGGAGAACCCAGAGTTAAATGCGGGGAAAGAGAAACTTAAAAAAGCTTCAGAACATACTCTAATGTGGCAAGCGTGCGAGGAGCTGCGGTAACAGAGCCTGAATGACAGCAACCCTCCGACCATGTTCTCTCACTAAAAAAAGGACCTGGCGCTGGGGTAGAAAGTTCTTGAAGAAACCCATCAAAGTGAGACCAAAATCTACCATTGACCCTCCAGGCTCAAAATCCCTACGTGTCCCCAACCTCAAGTCGCCCCCTTTTCTCCTGGGCGCATTCTGCATAAGGTCCCCCACTTCTGAGTACCTCCCGGGGGGAGTCTCCCTTCCCATGCTCAGGTTGCCTCCTCCTGAAGGCTCTCTGCCTCAAGACTCTATTCTCCACCTTATGTCGTCCCTCCTGGGGCGCCCCCGCCTGCCTCAGGTCTCCCCCTCTGTTTGCCTCCCCAGTCCAGTCTCCCTTCTCCGCTTTAGGTCGCCCTCTTTGAGGCCCCTTGCCCCCAACCTCAGGGCGCCCTCTGCTCAACCCCAGCTGATCCCCGCCTCGCCTCGCCTCGCCGTCCCTCCGCCCTCCAGCCCTTTTATCCCCGCTACCTCGGAAACGTGTCTGCAGCAGGGGGTCACTGATGCCACTGCGCCTTAGAAAGGCGCACACCTGCTCAGGGCACCAGGTCTTGTGGTCGGGGTGGAGTTCGTGGCCCGGGGATTTCTCTGCCGCTGCAGTGTGGGCGCTTGGCGGGGTTCTTGGGCTGCCATCGCGTCGGGGCCGCTTGAACGGCTGCTCGGAGTCAGCGTTCTGCATGGCTACACCGGCCAGCGCAGCCCAGTCAAGAACCGCGGCGCCGGACCGCGCGCAGACGCACTGAATGCCCCACCCTAGAGGCGAGTCAGCTCGACATTGCCGGCCAACTGGCCTGCTGCGCAGGCGCACTGACAACTCAGCCCTTGGGGCAATGAAGTCCAGCAACTGCAGACAAATGGCCACCTGCTCAGGCGCAATGTCAATCTAGTCGTTCTCGATTCGACCGAGGAGCTTACGTTTAGGGGCGGGGCTAGAAGTGTATCTAAGCCGGTGTTCTGGTCGGTGCTAATGGCAGGGGCGGGGAAAGGGCGTCCTGTGGTGGGCGTCTGGCCACACTCCGGAATGGCGGCTCTTCTGGCGAACTGAAGGTAGCCCTTCTCCAAATGGCTATCCCAGGCCACCGCTTGGCTGGATTTCAGATGCCCCCATAAATCAGAACTGACTCCACGGCAACTGTTTTGTTGGTTTTTTTTAAACTTAAATCTAAAAGGCCATCAGGCTGCCAGCACCTTTCCAATGAACAGGGAAAAACGGGCAAGGGGCTGAAGTGGAAAACCCTGGAATGATTTAAAACCTAATGTGTCTTGCACTTCAGTAGTTCCAGGTTCTGTGCTCTGGCCAAGTTGAGAGATGTAATAGTTTAAGCTCCCCTCTTCTGAAGTCAATCATGCCATAGTTAGGACTAGAAAAGACTATAAAGGCAATTAATTTAAGGCCCACTGTCCAAAGACCTTGAATACAAAAAAAAAAAACCAACAAAACAAAACCCATTGCTGTTAATTCCGACTCACAGTGACCCTATAGGACAAACGATAGGGTTTCCAAGGAGCTGCTGGTGGATCCAAACTGCCAAGCTTTTGGTTAGCAGCCTAGCTCTTAACCACAGTGCCATCGGGGCTCCTCAAATACTCCCAGCAATTCTCCTTCCCCAGCTACCATCTCCCCACACAACCAAGCTGGGCAATTTCTGATAGCATTATCCTTGTGGTTTTAAGTCTCTTCACAGCTTCCTGTTCCACCAGTGCTGCCAGTTCCTCAATACCAGCTCAATTTTACATTTCTTCATTCTTTCCAGAACCCAGCCTCCTCCACGCATTCTTTTTTTCAGTCTGCCCAAATCTCAAAACCCAGCCAAAATTCTTAAATAAACAAATAAAACAGTATTGATTTTTCTTGTCTGACAAAAATAAAGCTCAGGAAAGAAAACTTGGAAATTGTAGTGTGTTTATACACAACATGCAGCCAAAGATCCCCTTCATGTGCCCCATCATTCTTTTTCTCTTCATAGATGTAGAAACTTTTCTTCAGCTCTGGAAATTCTTTAAGAAAGAAAGAGAACATGTAAAATGATAACAGCTACCTTTTTTTGAGTACTAACTATGAGGCAGAAGTTCTACTTCTGCTTTACTTTATGTCTTAGGCCGGGTTCTCTAAAGAAGCAAAACCAGTGAAGCATCTGTACATATATATAGAGAGATTTATGTCAAGGAAATGGCTCACGCAGTTGTAAAGGCTGGAAAGTCCCAAGTCCATGAGTCACGCTGGCAGCTTCTCCTGACCCATGTAGCTGCAGGGGCTGGTGAAACCAAAACTGACAGGTCAGACAAAAGACCTCTGGCTCACAGGCTGTGGAGGTCAATGAATCTGAAGATCAGCAGGTAAGCTGCTAGCTCAAGTCCCAGATGAACAGGAACCAGCTGCAGGATCCAGAGACAGTAAAAGCCCATGAGCCTTGCCAGAAAGTCCACCTATATTGGATGCAGGCCACACCCCTAAGGAAATTCTCTATTAACTGATTGGCTACTTACAGCAGATTCTATCATGGAGGTAATCACTTTATATCGGATCTCATCATGGAAGTGATTACATCATTATACAACTGCCAAACTACATCATAACTGCCAAACCACAGAGAATCATGGCACAGCCAAGTTGACATACAACCTAACCTATCACACTTTATGTCCATAATTTCTAATTATCATAACACACTGTTAGAATTATTTTGGTTATAAAAACATTCATTCATCCACTCAATAAATATTAATGGTTTCTGGGTACAATGTATTTAATATTTGCAAGACACTGCTCTGAGCACTTGGGACACATCAATAAACAAAACAAACAAAAATCTCCACTGTAGTGAAATTTATATTCTAGTGGGGATAGACTGTCACTAAACAACAACATGATTAACAATAATAAACTTACACTATATGTTAGAAATTGGTGCTATGAAAAAAATAGAGCACGGTAAGAGATTAAAAGCGGAGAGGGATAGGGTCACAATTTTGGATAGGATGGTCAGGATAGGCCTATTGAGAAGGTGAGACATAAGCAGAGATTTAAAGGAGAAGGAGTCAGCCATGTAGGTATCTGGAGGAAAAACATTCTAGACAGAGGGAACAGCAAAGGAAAAGGCCCTGAATCAGGGGCATGCCTGGAGCTGAGAAAGACCAAAGGGCCAGTATGGATGGGGCAGAGTGAGTAAAGGGGGAGGTGGTGAGAGATGACATTGAGGAGTGTGCGAATCATATAGGAATATAGAGGCTACAGGCTACAAGCAGCTCTGGGATTCCATCCTTATGCATCCACATCTGGACATGAGAGCAAGCCTCTGTTCCTCCTGTTTCAACAGGAAATTCTAAGGGACTGGCTTCAACAAGCCTGGAATGCATCTCAGGCCCATCCCTGGACCAATCTCTGTGGACAAGGTAATATGATGGTTGGCTCTGTGAGGTCACTTGGGTCAGAGGGCAAAGCCTAGTCCCAGGAAGAAGAGAATTGGTTCTGGACAAAGATCCCAGGTTTTATTATACCCATTTAACAAATAAGGAAACAAAGCTTAGAGAGGTGAAATGACATGACCAACTGCACGCACATGTGAGAAATGATCTGGGATTTGAACCTGGATTTGCCTGAAAACCATTGCTTTCTTCTGCAACTTGGGCTGAGTACAAGTTCTATTGCTTCTAGGCTATACCAGGGAGAGGTCATCCCATTCTATAGGGTGTAGTGTGACTCCCTGTGAGTGGCTCAGTGTCTGGGCTGTGGTGACCATGTATTTGGGGGTGGGCTGTTCAAACACATAAGGGAGTGGGCCAGACATCAGGGGATGGGGTACCCCTGGGTAAAAAGAACTCATTGATCCTTTTTAAACCCACTGCTAAGTGCCGATCACAGCTCATATTTCAAATACAGCACTGGCTCCTAAATTCAAATGGTAGTTGCATCAGTCTGAAAATCTTATTCCAAAATAGATTTGCATGGGAGTCCCTTTGTTGTTGTTGTTAGGTGCTGTCAACGAGACAATTTTCCACTAATAGCGACCCCATGTGACAGAGCACAGTGCCCCATAGTGCCTTCTAGGCTGTAATCTTTAGGTGATCATATGATCAAGTCTTTCTCCTGCGGAGTCGCTGGGTGGGTTTGAGCTGACAATCTTTCAGTTAGCTGCTGAGCACTTAACCATTGAGCCAGGGTTGCTAAGGGGAATTTGTTCTTGCTACTGTTGGCCATTCTAAGATCATTAGAAGAAATTTAGGAAGAAACTGGCACTAAGGTACCTTGGGTCTTTTTTGTGTGTGTGCTTTAAGTGAAAGTTTACAATTCAAGTTAGTTTCTCATACAAAAATTTATACACACATTGTTATGTGACCCTAGTTGCTCTCCCTATACTGTGACAGCACACTCTTCCTTTCCACCCCGGATTTCCCATGTCCATTTAACCAGCTCCTAACCCTCTCTGCCTTCTCATCTCACCTTCGGACAGGAGTTGCCCATTTAGTCTCATGTATCTACTTGAGCTAAGAAGCACACTCTTCATGAGTATCATTTTGTGTACCATAGTCCAGTCTAATCTTTGTCTGAAGAGTTGGCCTCAGGAATGGTTTTAGTTTTGGGCTAACAGAGAATCCAGAGGTCGTGTCTTCCGTGATCCCTCCAGTCTCAGTCAAACTATTAAGTCTGGTCTTTCTATTAGAATTTGAGTTCTGTACCCCACTTTCTCCTGCTCCATCAGGGACTCTCTGTTGTGCTCCCTGTCAGGGCGATCATTGGTGGTAGCCGGGCACCATCTAGTTCTTCTGGTCTCAGGCTGATGGAGTGTCTGGTTTATATGGCCCATTCTGTCTCTTGGGCTAATATTTTCCTTGTGTCTCTGGTGTTCTTCATTCTCCTTTGCTCCCGGTGGGTTGGGACCGACTGATGCATCTTAGATGGCCGCTCACTAGCTTTTAAGACCCCAGACACCACAAGTCCAATATAATCCACCTTTTTGTTGAGATATTTTGGTCAAATCTTTTCAGCAAATCAGCATTATGTAAAAACTTATCTGCAGATGACAAATCTTAATATGGCCATAATTAATTTATAAACATAATACTCTTAATTACAAAAATTCAAAGCCAAATAAATTCAGTTTAAAAAAACTTTAGACAAAAGTATTACTAAATATAATCATTAACCTTATTTTTCAAAGAGCTTCAGATATAGTACATAACTATCTTGAAACATAATACCACATAGTCAAGATATACCAAGAATATACCAAGATTATCAGTCTCTAAATACCTGAATAGTAATTAAAAAAAAACTTAATAGGTAAATGATTTGAATTCTCTGGTCAAAGTATTGGCTTTGATGATGCTAGATTAAAAAAAATTAAGTTGTACCCAAGTTAGCAATAAAGAAATAATAAAAGTATGACATAATATTATACGTTTTCTGTCTAATATTAGGCAAAAACAAAAGGGGAAATACTAACATATAAATTTCAACCCAAAGAGAATCAGGCACTTCTCTTGATTTTGACAACACATCGTATGTAATTTATAACATACTATATAAATCTTTTTAGCACTTTTCCTTTGTAAAATTCTTTTTTGTAGCTTTCCATGAAGTTTCAAAGTTGTCAGGAGTTGGTTATAGGTCACTGAGAATACAATATTTAGGTTATTTAACCAAAGATCTTAAAGATAAAAACCTTAGCTTTTTCTTTCTCAAGCTAAGCAGCTTGGTTTTTGACTCAGGAATCTTACTCTAATGAGAGATCAAACCTTCGTCTTCAAGGCAGTTTAAACAAAGAGTAAATTAACCCTTCAAC